CCCACCCCCTGTAAAGGGCTGAAAATTCCAGAAAACAAGGATAATGTCTTTATTCTTTAGGAGACTAACAGTGCTTTAATCCACTGAGAGAACTCAACATGCTCCCACTGAACAAGTAGATGGATAAATAAATATACATTCATATGGGAACGTTGACTGAGTGCACTGACCAGACATGTCTGTCACTTTTCTGGCTGTGGTCGCAATGTTTGTGCCCCTCCCAATCATAAGTGGAAACCTAATCCCCAGTGTGATGGGCTTTGGAGGTGGGCCCTTTGGAAGGTGATTCCGAGTTAGTGCCCTCAATAATGAGGCCCCAGGGAGGTTCCTCACCCCTCTGCCACTAGGCGAGGACACCATGAAGAGTGCCCCACACCAGACACCAAATGCGCCTTGGACTTCCCAGCCTCCAGAACTGTGAGAAATAAGTTTCTGTTGTCTCTCAGCCACCCAGTTTATGGCATTTCCGTTACAGCAGCCCAGATGAACTAGGACAAGCCCCCTCTGAAGCCACCTGTGAACCCTGAGAATGGAATCAAACTCCTCTTGGTACCCTTGGTTAATATCCCCAATTATTTACTGTATTCTTATCCACTGAGCCCACACCCACTCAAAATATTTTTGCAAAAATAGCTTTTTAAAAAATTATGGTAAAACATACACAGCATAAAATGTACAATTTTAACCATTTTTGAGTGTACAGTTCACCGTGTTGTGCAAAACTGTCCTCAGCTCCAGAACTTTCTCACCTTCCCTAACTGAAACCCACTGACCACTGATTCCCCATTTTCTGCACCTACCAGTCCTTGGCACTTATCATTCTCTTTCTCGTTCTATGAGTTTAACTGTTCTAGGTACCTTGTATTCAGTGGTTGACTCATTTCACTTGACATAATGTCTTTAAGGTTAATCCATGCTGTAGCATGTATCAGAATTTCCTCCTTTTAAAGGTGAAATTAGACTTCTGGCCAAGATGGAGGCGTAGGTAGATACACTGTGCCTCCTTGCACAACCAAGATAAGGATAACAACAATTTAAAAACAAACAAACAAAAATAACCAGTACTGACAGAAAATTGAACTGCATGGAAGTCCAACAACCAAGGAATTAAAAGTAGACACATTCATCCGGATCGGTAGGAGAGATGGAGTCGGGCAGCTGGGTACAGAGGACGCGAGGCAGGGTGGCTGGCAGACCCGGGCACACAAATCGGCAGCTGGTGGGCCCAATGAGGCGGCAGATTGTAGAGGGGTGCGGTGCGTCTGGTCCCACATTCATGTGCAGATAAAACCAGGTGAAGTGAGACAGACTGTGCAACCCAGGGTCCCAGCGCGAAGAAATAAAGTCTCAAAACACCAATTGAAAACACCTGTGGGGGTTGAGGTGCTGGGAGAGACTCCCAGCCTCACAGGAGAGTTTGTTGGAAAGATCCACAGGGTCCTAGAACATATATAAACCCACCCACACAGGAATCAGCACCACAGGGGCCCAGTTTGCTTGTGGGAATTGGGGGAAGTGACTGAAATCCAGCAGAGAGCGGAGCAAGCGCCACTGTTCCCTCTCTGACCCCTGCCCTAGCGGGGATCGCACTCATCTGGGATGCTAATCAAATGCACAGTTTCTGGGCATCTCCCTACACTTACTACTAAATTATAACCTTATGTATGGGATGGAGCCCAGGAATAGTGGTGTTTACAAGCTCCAGTTGACTCATGCACATTAAGCTTGCACATCATTGATTTGCATCCTGGCTGCATTGACTCCTTTAAGATCGGAGGTTCCAGTTGTCTTAGGGGAAGATGCATACAGGTAAACAGCATTACAACCTAGCAACTGGGTTGCCCTGCCCTGGTGAACACCTAAGGCTCTGCCCTTCTCTATGTAATAGGTTCAACAAGACAAAAAAAAAAGTGGCCCAAATGAAAGAACAGATCAAAGATCCAGAAAAAATACAAGAAAGCAATGAAGAGATAGCCAACCTATCAGATGCACAGTTAAAAACACTGGTAATCAGGATGCTCACAGAATTGGTTGAATTTGCTTGCAAAGAAGATAAAGAAATGAAGGCTATGCTAAATGAAATAAAGGAAAATATACAGGGAACCAATAGCGATGGGAAGGAAACTGGGACTCAAATCAAAGGAGTGGACCAGAAGGAAGAAACATCCAATCAGAAAAGAATGAAGAAACAAGAATTCAAAAAAATGAGGAAAGGCTTAGGAACCTCCAGGACATTTTTAAATGTTCCAACAGCTGAATTATAGGGGTACCAGAAGGGGAAGAGGAAGAACATCAAGTGGAAAACTTATATGAACAAATAATAAAAGAGAACTTCCCCAATCTGGCAAAGAAAATAGACTTCCAGGAAATCCAGGAAGCTCAGAGAGTCCCAAAGAAGGTGGACCCAAGGAGGAACACACCAAGGCACATCATAATTAACCAAGATTAAAGATAAGGAGAGAATCTTAAAAGCAGCAAGACAAAAATGAGATAATTACCTACAAAGGAGTGCTCATAGGACTGTCAGCTGATTTATCAAGAGAGACCTTCCAGGCAAGAAGGGGCTGGAAAGAGGTATTCCAAGTCATGAAATCCAAAGACCTACAACCAAGATTGTTCTATCCAGCAAAGTTTTCATTTAGAATGGAAGGGCAGATAAAGTGCTTCTCAGATAAGATCAAATTCAAGGACTTCATCATCACCAAGCCCTTATTATGTGAAATGTTAAAGGGACTTACCTAAGAAAAAGAAGATAAAAAAGATGAACAGTGAAAGGACAGCAAACTCACAGTTATCAACAACCACACCTAAAACAAAAGCAAATTAAGAGGACAGCTAGATCAGGAGCAGAACCATAGAAATGAAGATCACATGGAGGGTTAGCAACAGGGGAGTGGGAGGAGGAGAAGTGCGGAGAAGGTACAGAGAATAAGTAGCATAGATGGTAGGTAGAATATAGATAGGGGGAGGGTAAGAGTAGTATGGGAAATGTAGAAGTCAAGAACTTATAAATATGACCCATGGACATGAACTAAAGGGGGGAAATGTGGGTGGGAGCGGGTATGCAGGGTAGAGGGGAGTGAAGGGGGGAAAATGGGACAACTATAATAGCATAATCAATAAAATATATTAAAAAATAAAGGTGAAATTATATTCTATTATATGCACATAACACATATCGTTTATCCACGCATCCCTTGATGGACACTTGGGTTGCTTCCACCTTGTAGCCATTGTGAATAACACAGCTACGAACGTGGGTGTGCCAGTGTCTGAGCTCCTGCCTTCACTTCTGTTGGGTTTATATCCAGAAGCAGAACTGCTAGATCGTATGGTACCCTTGTGTTTCATTTCCTGCAGAACTGCTGTATCATTTTCAGAGCCACACCATTTTACATCCCCATCAGCAACGTGTAAGGGTTTGAAGGTCTCCACATCCTTGACAATACTTATTTCCTTTTTTGATGGTGGTGACTCTAATGGGTGCATCAGAATCTTTTTTAAAGAGCACTTCAGGCAGCCGTTATCCATACATCAAAGTTGGCAAGGGAAATAAAAACCATTTGCTATTTCTAAATTGTGATCATGAGATTTTTTTATACCCTTCACAGTGAAATGAAGACTTCCGGGTAGTGCTGGCCACGGTGCTGCTGGGGTCGTGGACGCGGAGGGGAGGCCCGAGGGCGGCTCTGCACAGAACAGCACTGGGAGACAGTGTGAGGTCAGTGCCGGGCAAGTCACCAGGAACCGGGGTGGGGGGGTGAGGTCTGTCCCCATGTTCTGGCCTAAGTGGTGATGAGGTTTCCTTTCCTTTATTCTGTTTTCTTCCCTCTACCTCTCCCCTCTCTATTGCCTAAGAACCCATGCTTTGAAAAATCCATGTTTTGTAAAAATAGGGGAAGGTGGAATGCACACTAAATATATGTTACTTGCTTGCAAGTGGATGAGATCTCTCTGGAAGTGTACATGTAAACTAAGTACAGTGGCTGTCTGTGGGAGGGGACCTGGGAATACAGGAGACAGGGCGGGAGGCTTTTCTTTCTTTGCAGGACATCCTTTCATTACATTTTCAACTGTGCAAATATATTCCATCATCTTACCAACGTACATTCCTGAGCTGCAGAGACCAGAAACTTCCAACTTCTTCCCAGTCCCCGCTGAAGCTGGAGATGAAGAACAAGGTGCTGACAACGGATGGACTTTCATGAGACGTGGAGTGGAACGTGAACGTGGGTGAACGCCGTCTTCCTGCTGCCTTGGGCTGTGGCTACTGGCAAGCAAGGCCACGGGTGGAGAGAGGCAACTATGGAGCAGGTAGAAGCAGCTGGACGCTTTGTTCCCACGCCCACGCACCAGCTGCCAGGGCACTGCTAGAAGACAGTAATGGTGGTAACGTGAACGTCCTGACCCTACAAGCTGGCCCTTGGATCGCAGCTACCGTGGTGATTTTTACCTCAACAGCTCCAGAAGCAGCCTCCGGACTCCCTGAACTTCTGCTTAAGGCAGAGGTTGTAGCTCCCCTGGCATACGGGTACTGGAGATTGCTGGAATGTTCTGGAAGTTGTTCCTCGAGACCCATGGGGAGTTCACTCCCCTCACCCTTTCAACAATTCTGTAAGGATTCATTTTCTCATTTAGTCTGCTTAAAATACCTACCATGATTCCTATGTCCTGCAATGGAATTGAAATGGAATATGAAATTATTTTTACATAAAAATAAAAAATAAAAGTCATCGCTGAGAAAATATTCATTCTCCAAAAATATTTCTTGAGTAAGGTACCACCAAAGATACTTGGTCTTTATTTTTTAAAAAATTCTCACTATCTTGGTAAATCATCACTATTTAGTGAGCACTTTTTGGCTTAACAGATAAAGTCATTAACTTACATTGTCACGTTAGAAATAAATGTCTATGTGAATCCATGAGAAGTTGTGTGTATGTGTATAAAGAGGCAAGACATGATTTCCAATAAAATCTTAGGAGCAGAAGACAAAATCAAATATTTCTTATTCTTTGTTTTTATTTAACTCAAAATAGCTAATAACAAAAACATAAAAAAATATTTCCAACCCTGACTACTCAGTTATTTTTGGTGGATGACACTTGATTTTTAAGTTCTTGCTTCTTTCCAACATGTAGTAACATATCTACCATAATAAATATATCTCTAAAAGTTTACAGCAGGCTTTAAACTTGTGTATTTATATCCTAATCAAGTAAGATGACTCAGTAATTACCTTTGACTCTAAATATGCTTCTCCCACACAGAAGCTCATTAAAGTGAATAATCATAAATAGTCTAGCTATTAATTAATTAGTTTTCAATGAAATGTCTAAATACAGCACATACATACAGGTTGATATAGGCTTATATTCTTTACTACTCAAAAATGAACATAAGATGTACAGTGGAGTCATATCATAAACACATTCAATTTATACTGATTCGAGATATGAGGTCAGTGAAGAGGAAATGGTCGGGAAAGTAACAGTAAATCCCATGACAATCCCACCTGTTCAACAGAGGGACACCCTTGAGCAGCCCGAGCTGGGCACTGCCACCCGTAGTGTTCCCGCAGTCTCTGTCAGTTCACACAGTCTCTTAGAGGGCAAGCATCTTCCAGGTATGAGTGTGATTCTAGCATTTGAAGACAGGTGGTTTTTACACAAAATAACCCCTAAACAATCACCAACAACTGCAATTGTTCTTCAACAAAAGACGCAGTCATTTCTTCCAACACTGGGGGCAAAACTGGTCGTGGTAGATGGACAGACTTGCAACATGTCACATCTCTAAAGGGCTTTCCAGGATAACCTTGGTACCCCAATGTATCTAACGTGCTGACATTAGAAGCTAAGCTCTGGGTAGGACACGACTCCACTGAGGTGCGCATTTAAAATGCCATGATTCAAAAAGTGCCCCACTATTGCCAGCATCACTTAATTTCTGGTTTCCCATATGTTGCCGTGTATGATGCACATCCACGTTTTATAGGCATTATTCATGGGACTATGTAATCATTACATCATGTATAATGCACACCCTTATTTCTCCCTCAAAAACTTGGGCAAGAAACTGTGCATTTGACACAGCAAACGACAGTAGTTCCTTCCTCACAGTTAGCAGTGTGTTTCTGGGCTACTCTCCTGGACCTGGCACTTTGGAATGTATCTATCACTGGCCGAGAACAATCGCATAACGAAAAGATTAGTGTCACAACACCTGAACACAAAAGCTGCCAGAGGGGATCAGTCTCAGTACAATGCAGGATGAGATTTTCAATCAGCGATTGCTGCCGGTGAAGCGGAGAGTCACTTTGCTTTATCGCACCCGGTGCTCCTGGGGATCTTCTACAGCCTCATTTTCTCGGGCTTTTAAATTGGCAGCTACACCCTACTTCTTAAACCTTTAGCCTTAACCTCAGCTCATCCTGGTTCAGTTTCTATTTTTAGAAGCACCATTCTAATGGAAATGTCCCTGCCCTGAATTAAGCTGGGACTGGATGTTACCACTAGCTTGAGCTGTTACGTCATCGCGTTTAGGTTAATTTGGTCGATATTGATTTCCTTGACTACAGCCTCGGAAGTGGTTTCAGCTTCTGGCCAGGCAGGCTTTCTACCTGGGCTGTAGGTGAGGGTAGAATATCCCATGGAGAACTCCGTCAATAACCACGTTTGGAAAATCTGAAAAACAGAAGGAAAAATGCTTTTCTCACGTGCATCAGTAAAATATCATCGCATTCTGCAGAATTTAACGAGGGAAGGCCCACCGTGACTTAGGAAATCTGCCCGCCAGGCAGTCTGGGTCGGAACATGCTATCCGTCATACGGCTTCCGCCTGGAGCCACGTTAGCGTAGCACCGGGCACTGCAGGAAAGCGCGGCCAGATTTGTAGCTTATTGATTTAAGGGATGTTCTAATGGTTAATGCTGCTAGGCCCCGGCTCTTTATCTAAATGTTTTCTCACAAGGAAGATGGATTACACCGGCAATTCAATTTCTAACAAAAATCTCAATATACTTGAAGGAATTCCAAGATGTCTACTGGGAATACTTCACTGCAGTTTTTCCATTGTGGTTTACAGCAGCTGGTTCAGTCCAAGTTGTCTTGAGTATGCTTGTTCCATCACGCTCGCTTCTAGGGAGCAGGAAGATGGGGGCCTGTCTTCCGAACTTAAAAGGGCAAATTTCCGACAAAAGCCAGCCTGTCAGATTTGAACAATCAGCTGCACTTTATTGGAGATACAGAGGAAACCCAGAGCTGCACGATGTGTTGGCCACGTTCCTGTCATCAGGGCAGGTGACGTTGGAGTGCAGCACCCGAACAGGGGGATCCAGCCAGCACACGGCTCAGAAGTTTATTTTCTAAACTTCAATCTGCACATAAGTGCATCGAGGCTTTATGCTAGAGCCAACCACTTGAAATAAATGCAATTATGAGGAAATTAAGTGGTCCAATACTTTAAGACAAAAGAAATAATACCTTCGCTCACTAATCCAACCTCTACAGAGCACCTACTATGTGAAACCACGAACAAGGGGGTTGAACCTCATCAGAGAGGGCAGACAGGCTGCGGTGGGGAGGGGGGGACAGGATTAGGAAGAGGGAGCTAAACTGGTGAAAATTCTATGCAGGAATTAGCCTGGAGGGCACAAAGACCTGGCGGAAGGCTGGGGTAGCAGGAGCAGAAGCTGTGAGGAGGCCTGAGGGCGGGGCTGGGTGGAGGGGGTGCAATTTAAGAATAGACAGGAATTCTGGCTTTTCCTGAAAAGCAATGAGAAGCTATCCAAGGATGTTAAGTAGAGTGAGACAGAACTGAATTGTGTTTTGAAAAGATGACTCTGGCTGCCATTCAGAGACCAAGTGGAGCAAGTTCAAAGTGGTGATGGTTTCGACATGACTACTGAGGGATTTCTTACCAGCACCTACCTAGCAGGATGCCGTAAAAACTGATGAGTGAAACAAAGTGCTTGGGCCTGAGCCTGGCACACAGTAAGTGCCAGCTACAATGTATTACAATGTACTAAGTACCGTTACAATGTACTAAGACTGGCTGACTACTGGGAACATATGTAAGTAACAGACCCTGCCCCTGCCAATGGAAATAACGTACTAGTCAGAGAGACAAGAGATGAAGAAACAAAACATGTTTTAAAAATATCTCTAATACAGGAGTATTCAGTTACTTTTGGTTGGTGACGCTCGATTTCTTAGTGTTTGCCTTTATTCAACATCAAGTAAAATAATATTTTCTAAAACATATCTTTAGAAGTTTACAGGATTTACACCTGTATATTTAGATCCCAATCAAAAGCAGTGATTTCGCTAAGTTAATTTTAATTCTAAATGTTCTTCTACTACACAGAAGTGTACTGAAACCAATAGCCATATGAAGCTGTTGATTAACTTTCAATAAAATCCCAGGTAGGACGTATTACATCCATTAGCATATGTGCATTTACCCAAAACACAAAAGGTTAGTGAAATTACATCATAGCATATTTTAACTTAAGAGGATTCAAATAAGTTCAGCAAAAAAGTACAAAAAAGAAAAATTATGTTAAATACATTGGGTAGTTCTGTGGCACTGGAATAGGTCCATCAGTGGTTTAAGGGCAAAGAAGATAATCAAGCAGGGCATGGGGCCAGAGAGTGATGGGGCGGGACGGGGTGGGAGGACCTGTGTGCAGTGGTGCCGTGGCAGGAAATGGTGCTGCAGCAGGAAGTGGGGCCGCAGCAGGAAGTGGTGCAGCAGCCTTCTGGGAGGGCTCCTGGCTGAAGGGCATTTCGGGCAGAGGAGCAGTGCAGGCGAAGCCCTGTACTCAGGGCTGAGCACATGCCGTATGCTGGGGATTTAGAGGGTGAACAAAACAGATGGAGAGAGAGAGAGAGAATAATAAAAAGGAAATGAAGTTTGTGATCACTGCTAGAAAGGAAGCAAACTGGTTGCTGTGATAAAAGTGAATGAAATAGAGGTATTTTATAACAAGGTCCACCCACTAGCGACCAATGATGAGATAATCGGAGTTAATTTTCCCCACCTGTTGTTTCACCCCCTCTCAACTGTGAATTTTGGTTTCATTGTACGGATCATTTAATACAATGTCCATTACTGCTTGACAATTCAGAAAATGGTTCTTGCCTCGGTTTCTCATCAATGAAAAGGAACGTGATTTAGGACAGGTTTTGCTGTTAGTTTTGTTGGTCTTCATTTATTTGGAAAACATTTATTATGAACCCGAAGAAAGTGAATGGTACAGAGGAGCCCGTGGAGGTTACCTGACAGCAGTCAGCGAAGCCTCTCAGAAGTTGCGCCCAAGACGAGAGAGCCAACCATGTGTGGCGACCAGAAGGGGAATGGTCCAGGAAGAAGGAACAGCAAGCGCCCCGAGGTAGAAAGGAGTTAGTACATTTGAAGCTAACCCCTCAACATGTCCAGGCTGGAGCTGAGTGTAGGAGGGGTCCCAGCAGGACTGTGAGACAGGGCCCGACCATGGAGGACCTTGTAACCAAGGTTCACAGAGAGGGTGGGGATGGAAATCTGATATGGTGACTCAGCTATCTACACAGGGTCATCAAGGCCAAAAGCAAGGAGGAGATTATTTTTAAAAATTATCATGAGAGAAGGGTTTATGACAGCCTTCAGGCGAGCTACCAGAGAATGGAAGAACAGTAGCAAAGTGAGAAAGCCAAGGGAAGATGACGTTTGAAGGAGGAGGAAGAGCTAAGGCTGATAAGAGGTCAAGTAACAGGAGGACTGAAAAACGTCTGCAGAGTTTAGTTACACTGCAGTCACTGGGGGCCTCGGCAAGAGTTGTTTAACATTTCCCAGAAAAATCAAAGCAAAGGACAAAGAGCATATGCTACAAGAATAATATTTGATGATTAACATTTTGTAAGAGGATAATGTTCAACTGTTAGAACTTTAAAGATGGACCCTCTTCTAATTTTGTGAAGGACAATGTATCTGTTAAGATATTTCCACATTCATACCTGTATCCTTGGGAATGGTAACCTTAACATTTTGTTAGGGGGCATGATAGCACAAGGTGATGCAAGCACAATTTATCTTTAAATTGAATGCTAAAGATTTACAATGCTTTACTTGTAATACTTTTACAGGCATTAGTTTTAGGGATAATACAAGTTTATATAACTTGTAAATCACACTCATACCTGGAAGATGCTTGCCCTCTAAGAGACTGTGTGAACTGATAGAGACTGCGGGAACACCCCGGTGGCAGCGCCCAGCTCGGGCTGCTCAAGGGCGCCCCTCTGTTGAACAGGCGGGATTGTCATGGGGTTTACTGTTACTTTCCTGACCATTTCCTCTTCGCTGACCTCGTATCTCATATATAAATTGAATGTGTTTATGATATGACTCTACTGTACATCTTATGTTCATTTTTGAGTAGTAAAGAATATAAGCCTATATCAACCTGTATGTATGTGCTGTATTTAGACATTTCATTGAAAACTTGTACATTTAAAGTATACAACTTGTATAGGACAACAGGAATCTGAGTTATGAAATTGGGTTGGACAAAATTCCATGAAAATAGATCTTGCTCTACAAAAGCATTTACGAAAATATTGCTAGAATGGGGCAGAAAAACAACAGCACAGCCACCAGCATCCCTTGCAGACTCAATGCTCACTCCATTCTGAACTCCTGTCCATCAACCCTGTGGTTTCTGTTCACTGTCAAACAAGAATCCCTTTTCTGTGCAAGTCATTCATCCACACCAACATTCTATAAATGTTACATGCCTCTCACTCTGACTCTAGACATTTCCCCCTGATGTCCTTGCCCAGAAAGTTCCTCCTGTTCTTCATTGTCAAGCCAGGTGCATAGCACATGATGTTTAATAAGCAAAATAAATTGCATTTATGGGCCATAAAATGTCTCCCCTCTTCCATAAAATACCCTAGCTATTCTGGTCCACAATTATCCCATTCTATACTTCCATAGGAATTTCAGTGAAATGCATAAAATATCTGAGTATAAATAAACTATACCTGGAAAAAGTACTTGTGAAACCATTTTAAAAGATAATAAGAATGCTTTATAAAACATTGCCCATTTAATCTAGATATGGTTACATGAAAAATATTTGTTAAATAGAACACTTTGTTAACATAATACCAACTGATATAACATGACTATTTGTTAACATGGGAAGCAAATGCTAAAGACAGATAATTATTCCTATGAGACCATACTCTTACAGACCAAGGGCAGCTCTCCCTTGGCAGGGTGCGAGGAATGGCCCCTCCGTGGGCAGGCTGCATCCTGGCCAGCCTTCTTCAAATGACAGCTAAGTGGGTGATCTGAGTACATGCACCTCTGCTGTCCAGAACAGTGCCCTCTCTCTTGCGGGGAATAAGATTTTATCGTCAGAGTGAATAAGATTTTATTGTCAGAGTGTAGGCATGGTTTCAGTAGGTAACTCATCTATTGCTATTTAGGTACTCTGAGAAACAAAGGCTGAAAACTCACCATGTGCAAAGAGCACAGAAAGAGAAATTAGGCAACCAGGGCTCCACCCATCAGCACGAGACTGGGCAAGGGAGGTGCTTCCCTGAGCCCCGATTCTCTTATTAGCCGATGGTGACACCTGCCTTGCCCTTTTCACAAGGTTGTTACAGAAATTAAATGCGATATTGTCTGACAATGTACTCATGGATAGGTACACAGCAAAATGCCTGTAAAGGGACTAAAGTTCTTGGCACAAAGAAAGACCTCAGGCTAATATATTGATTACATTTATACTTAAATCATTATATTTAAATATACAATGTCTAAAAATATATATTTGACCACTGAAAATGCTGTAATCTAAATGGAAATGGAGACACACAACCAATGTACACACACAGCTTTCAGGAAGAAGCATTTTTTAAAAGGACCAGAGCCTTGGATTCCAACACTAGCATCTGGATAAAAGCAACCAGGGGCCAAAATAATACCACCCCCCAAAATTAAAGGCAACAAATATCTTTCTTCTTTATTACTCTAATTCAAAATTGCCTGGTAAGAGAGAAAGAAAAATTATATTTCCACCTAAGGCCTGCCCCAATTAAAATTCTGAATGTCTCTTACACCAAGAGCCCTGGCTTATTGGCAGATTATTAAACCCTGGACCAATGACACTCTGTTAGACCTGTATTAAAAACGCGGTTTATGTGGTGCAGGGTCAGATCAGTAAAGAGCTGTTAGCAGATGACAGGTTTGATTACCGCTGGCTGCAGGCAAGACGTATGGATCCCTGAGGAACAGCAGCACCGGCTGGTGGGACAGTTTGCTGGAAAGGTCAAGAACAGGCATGTCAGCATCCGGGGACGACGGTAAACAGAAAACACTACAAACTACCTTTGAGGGGATCAAACTGCTGTGCAGGGACGTCTCAGGGTTTGTGCATCGCACAGTGTGGTGAGTGGTAGCACACAGGGTTGGAGGGAGCTGACCAGCACTGTGCTCATCTCCCAGCACCTCTTTGTGGGATTTGAAGCAGACATACAATCTACACAATAAATCACTGCTGCAAAGTGTTTTTTTTTTCACCTTGTAGTATGATTATGGATAAAAACAGTATTCTTATTATTTGTATGAAGCAATGAAGGGTTCTGGTTCTTTCACTCCTGGATGGAACTGGTTACTTCTGTAACTTCCTATCAAATATTTATCATCTTAAAATCAATTTCCCAACAAAGGTTTTCAAGAAAATTATGACTTAAAGCATCTATATCCCGGTAACTAAACATTTAACAAAACTACAGTCTTTTTCCCGATTTCTGCAGTTTAGCTCCCAAATGACAACTGTTAGTTCTTACCTTGACTCTTCAGATTCTGTCTCGTCAAAAGATCTAAAAAAGTGTTTTTAAAAGAAAAAGAAAAAGCCATGTAAGTTGAGTCAATGTTTATGCCAACAAAGTTAAAAATAGACAGTATTCCTAAAGCTCCAAGCTGGGGGGCATTTGGAAAAGAATGAAGGCGTTCACACAGAGGCACTGCATTGCTGACGCCTCTGCATCCTGAGGAATCTGCGACTGCACCGTGCTTGAATTTCAATTTTCCTAAAGATCACTTTAAAATCCTATACTTTCACTTCCAAATTTATATAGTGGAGAAAAGATTCCACTCATTGCCATTTCCAACATCCCTTCTTAAAAATACACAGCTGTGTGTGAATCCCGACCTCCCAGCAAACACCCGCGCGTTCCAACGGGACACACTGACAAGGCAGATGGGTGGGGAGCGGGGTGCACAGCCCTTGCTCTGGGGTGAGCAGACAGTACACGAGCTGCTGAGGGAGCTGTGGCAGGTATTTGCAGCCTCTCACTCAGCACACGACTGGGCTTAACAGGACTTGGGATGTGGTTAGCTTGAACGCCTTGTAGTTAGTGTGGGTCCTTCAGGCGGGTCTGGATACAGAGAGAAAAATGGATAAAACCATCTGCCCCGTTTGAATATGCAGAAAGTCTGAGGTGATGTATTTCTTTGTAAATGGATTTAACATGTCAGGATGTTACTGACCACCTTCAGTAATCGGTTCAGGACAAGTAAGGTGCCCAGAGATGGGCGAGTGGCTTATTTCTCAGCTAATTCTTCAGAAGAATGTTTCCTAGTGACTGGTGACAGCCGGTGCCTAGTCCCTTGGTGGGCAGGGGTCAGGGTCCAGAGCATTAAAAGTTCCGGAGGGAGAGGCAGTAGGACAGTGGGGACCAGAGCTGGAAGGCCTGGGCTCCGCCAGCTACAATGAGGGAGATCTTAGAAAAGCTCAACTCTAAAATAAAGGGAATTGGGTAAATTCATCTCTACGACCACTTGTAACTTCAAAATTATATGAATGTATGTGTGCCAAGGGGATACACAAGCTTTGCTCAAGTGTGCACAAATAAACATCTTAGTTCCTAAACAGGATATCTAGATTCACAATTCCCATCATGGGGCATTGCTCCAGATAATGGCATGATTTAAAAAGTGAGGTCCTCACGTTGTAACAAGAATTACTGAGCGTTCGTTGCTAGGCTGCGGCATGGGGGTGAGGTTTCAGGAGGAATTCGTCTGACTACAAGCAGGGGGCGTGCAAGCCAAAGAATGGGTGTGGCCAGGCTGCCCCTGCTGATACCCCTGTGGGGTATTTTTAGGCCAATTAAGTGACTGAAGAGTAACATAAAATACGCGTCCAAAAAGTAAACAACAATTCTTACCCACAACTCTCTGCCTTTGGTAGAGATGGCAAGTGCCGTATGTTTAGGAAATCAAGGAACAGTTTGGGAAGTTCTTCATTTTCTAAAATGACAGCCTGTGAAAGCAGAAAACAGATTTAGAAAGTAAAGTCTGCTAGGCAATCAATCAAATGAAGTATTTGAAAAAGTCATAACCATCATCCAAGTTGTTATAGCATCATTCCTCACCACCAATATAAGGCATGGTCCCCATTTTACCTGCCAAGAATTCAGGCTGACACACATTTTATTCAGTGTTAGCAAATGCTCATTTCACCTGTTCTTTCATGCAAACAGTATTTCTGAAGCAGCTACTCTTCAGATGCCGATAAGGGGGACACAGGGCACCAGGCAGACACAGTTCCCACCTCACAGCGATTCTAATCCAAAGTAAGCATTTGAAAAACCCGGGAACACCAATGATACTGTCACAATATGTGCGTCAAATTGTCTTTACTGGGTGATACGGTGGTCTGCTGGGTGTGTATCTGTAAGAGACCACTACTGTTTAGGAAATACTGCACATGGCTTTTTAACTGGACGATTTAGTCAAGGCCCCTCAGCTATCACCTGTTTCAGCATTAGGACCAACTGACATTTATTGCTATTCGGACGGCTCCACTTAAAGGGTCAGTAACAACTTTACCACTAAGTGTAAATCAGTGTATATGCTGGAAAAAATCTATAGAGTTGTTCCATTTACTGAGCTCTGCTAAAGCACTGGCGTAATGGCATAACCATGTCCGTTCTCAGATATCCGAATCATGCAATTTCAAGGAGAAACTTAATGCAGAACTATAGAATGCATTTTTATATGTATTTATTTTTTTAAGAGTCAGCCAGAGTGTATTTGTCCCTCCCTCCTTCTTTTCTGCAAAGATCATGGGAAAAGCATCAGAGAATGAAATCAACCTCTGAATTAATCTATTTTCAAGAGTCATTTTCATAATTTACCATGGCTGCTCTCCCCTCCCCCCGACACACCATAAGCACGGGTTGTTTAAAGAGCAATAAGAATAATGGTGAAATGTCATTCACCCAGCTGAGCAGGATCTGCTCTGCAAGGCGATACACAGAGCACGGGGTTGGCCAAAAAGGCCATTTGGTTCTTTCCGTCTGATGGTTCTAATAGGGCTGAGCTGCCTTTAACTTCATTCAAAACAATTTTGTTACACTGTATTGTGACAGCTGTTATATCAGTGTGCACTGAAAACATGCATCAATATTGGTGAATTTTTGTGCAGCCATTTTAATATTGAAGATGGAAGAAAATAAGTAACGTTTTTGGCATATTATGCTTTATTATGTCCAGAAAGGTAAAACCCAACTGAAACACACACAAAAAAGACTTGTGCAGTGTATGGAGAAGGTGCTGTGACTGAGCAAATGTGTCAAAAGTGGTTTTGTAAAGTTTGGTGTTGGAGATTCCTCACTGGACGATGCTCCACAATTGGGTAGACCAGCTGAAGTCGACAGCGATCAAATCAAGACATTAATTGAGAGCAATCCATGTTATACCACTTGGGAGATAGCCAACATACTCAAAATACCCAAATCAATAAAGTTATTGGTGAAAATGGAAAGTGTGTTTTTTATTTTACAGGAAAAAAAAAAACCACATGAACTTTTTGGCCAACCCCAATATATAACCAATGATAAAAGTAAGGTGGAATTAGGTATATCTTGTAGACGCACAATTCTATATAATGTATTCTTTTTAGCCGTAATTTATACACTGAGCTGCCCATTTCTTACAGGGTTTTGGAACACTGTCACCCAGTTCAGGACACAAAAATCGAGTGAGAGACTAGTCAGGCTGGCCTCTGGACCACACTAGTGCACAGCCCCCTCCTGTTTGGTCCCTGACAGGGGTCTTCTCAACAGCCAGTCCTGTCTGGGGCTGTTACTCTTCCTTACATAGCTCATTGTACCCACTGAAGTTTAAGGAATAAACAAGAGAAACAAAGACAAGTGCTTAGGGGTTATAATTTACTAAATCAACAGCATCTATCATGTTAGGCACTGGGATATGGCAGTGAGTACAATGGTCCAGTTGAGTGTGGGCTGGTGGAGAAAACACATACAGCCTAAACCTGCCTTAGAATGCGGCGATACGGAACTGAAAAAGTCTGCCACTCTCTAGTCCTCCTACCCATCCATCCTTCCTTCCATCTATCTAAAATGTTTATTCTTTTCTTGATATCTAAAACAAGTAAAACGTGAAAAATTCTTAGAAAGGAAAAACTCCTCTATCCAGAGGCATACTTTCATCACCGTTTCAGTTAATTTCCTTCAAATTATTTGACCTTCGCCTGAATTTTTATGTACCTGAGGAAATTGGGGGGTCCCTGGAACTCTAGTTTCTAGCAATCACCATATATATATATATGAAGCTTCAAGGAAATGTGCCTTAACACAAGTGGCAATGATTATCTACTTGTTTCTAGATATCAGGTTACAAGAGTAACATAATACCTATTTGAATAGTAAAGCTTAATGTTGTAACAAATACAGGGCTGTTTACCCAAGCAATAGTTTTAATTATGTGTACAAGTGGTAGCTTTCAGATTTTAAAAACAGTGGGGGTGGGGGTGGGTAAATGTTCTTATCTCCACCCCCACCTTTTAAAATAAATTAAATCAATAACACGTGTGGGACACTTTTAATGACCCGAACTACTTAATTTCCAGGATCTTTAGACATGTCATCCATCACTGCAGTATGGAGGAAGACATCTCTTGAGTGTTCAGGGGGTTACTTTGGTTTTATTAATGCAAGATTTAGGGAATTTTAACAAGGTGAATTGTTTATTTGCCTTGACAGATTGGCTTACAATGCACTGGCTACATCTCCAGCATGATCATTAATGACAAAAGACAGGAAAAAGCTGTTAACACTGCTACACCAGACAGGGCTCAATCCCGCTCAGCCTCCCCAAGACCGAAGTGATATTCCAAATAGACGATGGCTTTGTTTCAGGTAAGAACACTGGTTAAAAAAAAAAAGAAATGTGGAAAACTCCAGAATTTAGTGAGCATTTCTGTTGAATGTTGAATGAAAATGCTTAAATAGAAATTTCCATAAAGCAATGACCAATGCAGATTTCAGGATTTATAGGTATCAAGAAGGCAGCATTGGCGGCTAAGTTAAACATTCAGTTTTGTGGTAGAAGTATTTCTTAAACTCTGCTAAGACTTGTTAGAAAATAATTAATAGGTAAACCCAAGCAGAAACACGGTATAATATAGAATTTACCTAATTTAATACAATATATACAAGTGAATGACTGTCATGAATTAGGAGAGAGATGCAAAAGACAAATTAAGTTAGTTTGACCGAATGTTTTCGCTTATGAAGAATCTCATTCCATGATGGGCCCAGCAGTGAGGCAGGCCTACCCTGCCTCCACTTACACCTTCTTTTTCTTCAAAAGCTTTTGCTCAAGAAGAACCACTCCTTCTAGAAGCTGCGCCCTGGGGCTGGCCCACCTGCCTGGGACTGCGGTCTGGTCTGAATCGCCCAACTTTACTTCATGGATAAGCTTTAATTTTTCAAAAAACATTTACAGTACAGTTTTGACTATCAAATCATTGTTTTAGCTTGCTTCTCTTTATTGACTAGTCATTTTCATTCTTTAGAGAGGCAAGTTGGGTGGCTTCAGAGCAAGACCTGGACCGAACAACTCCCCATCTTAGAGGGTTATTGGGAGGATTGGATGATGTCTCCACAAAGACTCCAGCACACAGTGGACATTCAGTAAATGTTAATTCTGTTTCCTTCGACTCTTTTTGTTATCTCCATTCCCCTCAACCTTATGTTACTGGTTTTGGAAATTTGGATTATTGTTCGTCTAGCAAACAGAGCTTCTTGGCTCTCAATGATTCATGAACTCCTTTGAAAAGTGGAAGAAAGCTAAGAATCTGGCTTGCTGAAAAATACGCATACACTCACAATTGTGCTGACAGTAGCAGCGGCTTCCCAGGCCTCCACGAGCCCAGCGGAGGACACCTGCTTTGAGCTGCGACGTGGCAGTAACGCCGCTGGGTGCACTTTTCATTCCGTCTGGAGCCTGCGGCAACCGCGGGCTGGCTCCCCCAAGGACACGCTGCCTTCCTGTTTCAGTTTTCTCCTCCTTTGCCGACTGGAACCCCACTGTGGTGTGTGCTGCTTTGCTGTTGGAATTCATTAGTGCTTTCGGCTCTGAGCTGTGGGCGAACATATCTGTCTGCCAGGGAGGCGACCCTGGTGAAGGATTCTTTCTGGAGACCAAGATCTACTGCTGCGCTGGATTTAGAAAGTATCATAGTTCATATGCGCGGCTTCTGTGCCTTCTATATGTAACTCTAGACTCAAAACCATCTGTGGCGCTGAGGGTTTCCAAAGTTAGCAAAGCACGAACAAAAATAGGATTTAAAGTTCCTTTGTGCTGGGTCAGAGCACAGCAGATGAGGCCCTGGCACACTACCCTTGTTCTGAGAGGGCGGTGAGGGGTCCCAGGCCCGGGGCCACCGAACTGTTCAGCTACCAGCTCTGACGGCAGAGTTCTGACACTGCAGGTGGGCTGGGGTGCATGGCTGGGCAACTAATCTGTGCAGTGGAAACATCAAAATTCAAAATGAGCATGATGAGCTGGAGAAAGAGCTGGAAGTGAATTCCATGAAATTAAGATGTACGGGAACAAGTACTGAGTCGAGTACCACGGGAGACAGAAGGGACGACCCACATGCAACACGGAGGGCAGCTGTTTCTGTGCAAGTGCCGTCGGTCAGCAAGAAATGCTGCTGCCACAAGGAGTAAAATGAGCCGAGCAGCCCTCCACCGAACACAACGTTATCTTCTAGGGGATGAGGCCCAAGGAGCGGGCGCCAAGCAGGGGATGAGGCAAAGGTGCGGGCCAAGGAGCTGTGGGGTCATCAAGGTAACCAACCCTTCTGTTCAGGAGGCTGATGATTTTCAACGCTGCTGGAACAAGAAAAAAGTACCCCCCAAACTAGCAGAAGAGGAGTCTGTCTCTAATTGAAGCTTGTGCAGTAAAAGCAGCCAAAGAGGCACATGTACAGACAGCGGGGGCGTTGTA